TTCGGGTTGGAAATTTGTTTGACTTTCCTGGACATGGAGTATCATTGTACTTGCCATACAATATACAATTTCATGCGTTGGTTGGCATAGAGAGCTTTTAATTAATAACTGTGGAAGTGCATTGTTATATCCGTAACCAAGGCCAACAAGTAAAACAAGCTGTTGTTAAGAGCTACTATTTATTACGTCTATCTTGGTTGGTGGTCGGATAAAGAAAGAATCTCTAACTTATGACAGTCAGGCAAGGCCTACTACATCTAGGCCTACTACATCTCCCCCTTTTAGAAAATGTCATAGGAAGAGAGCTATCTTGGAATTCTTGATTCTCGTACAGAACGTCGAATAAAGTCTCCAACTGCTTCAGATGACACGGGCTTTTGTGCGGACTGAAGTTCTTCATCTTGAGCAGCAGGTTCATGATCGATTGTCGAAAAAGGATTTTCGCCAGACGTACTTGCCATTTGACCATCAGCTTCGAGTGATACGGATCCAACAGGAATAGGGACATCGTGATTGAATGGCACTTCTGGATCCAACGGTACAGCTTCATCTTGAATTTCATCAAGCAGGATTTCCCATGGTAGTTGCTGCGTCGCTTGCTCTGGATCATCAGAAGTGTGAAGAGGGCGCATTTGGTTTACATGCGACCTCACCAGCTTCGGTCTCCCGTTCATGTCCAGTGCAACGATATAGTTGACGGAACCTTTCCGTTCGATGACTCGACCAGGAATCCACGACTTGGCGTTTCTGCGATGCTGTTCAACGTAGACCAGGTCATCTTCTTCAAACTCGCGCTTGACTGCTCCATGCCGCCAATTGAACTGTTCGTTTTGTTTGTGGTTCTTGACAGCTTCAGTTACAGGAACAGGTTTCTTCAGTAGGTCCAAAGTGGTGCGCACTGGTCTTCCGAGGAATGCTTCTGCTGGAGACGTCGACTGCGGTGTGTTTCGGTTTGGGATTGAACGATACACCGAAAGGAATGTCTGCAGGTGCTCCAGTGTGGGTGATCCTTCCCCCTTGGCTAGCTTCTTGAGGCCATGCTTGAGTGAATCAACGAATCGCTCCGCTTGGCCGTTGGACTGCGGGTGGTAGCGAGCAGTGTGGAGATGAGTGATACCATTTGCACGGCAATACTGTTGCAACTGCTCGCTGGTGAATTGCGTTCCGTTGTCTGAGACCAATGTGTCTGGGTTGCCGTAACGAGAAAACGTTTCACGCAGCATATTCAGGGTTGCAGTTGTGGTAATGGATTGAGTACGAAAAATTTCGGGCCACTTAGAGAAAGCATCTACCATGACGAAATAGTAGTATCCATGGATCGGACCAGCAAAATCGATATGGACACGTTGCCATGGCTTGTCCGGGAGAGGCCATGACTCCAAGGTTGCTTTTGTCGGGGACTTCGCTGCTTCAGCACATGCAGTGCACTGACGGACAAATTGCTCCACATCGTCGTCAACGTTAGGCCAGTAGATGTAACTTCGGGCCAGAGACTTCATTCGGTCCATTCCAGGGTTCCACGATGCATTTGACGAACGATCCGCTTTCGAAACTTTGATGGGACGACGATTCGATCGCCGAACATAACGCAGTTGTCGACAACTTGAAGTCCATCTCGTCTGGCGAAGAACTTCTTGACATCAGGATCAGTAACTTGCTTCGCATTTGCTGGCCAACCTTCGTTAAGGAAATTCACCACTTGCTGAAGAACTGGATCCTTTCGCGTCTCAGCCACAATCATCTGGTGCGTGACTGGCAGGTTGCTGATGGTGTCGTCGAGAATTGCTTTTGCTTCAGATTCGACGCACACGGCGGCTATGACGTAATCCTCATCTGGTCTAGGCTGCGATGACATGAGCCGGGATAGAAAATCTGCATAGCCAAAATTCGTCGATGAAACGTGTTGGATGTCGAAATCGTACAGCAGAAGTGTCAAGGCCCAGCGCTGCAAACGGTTTGCTGTGTAAACAGGAATACCTTTCTTTGAGCCGAAAACCTTGAGTAGCGGTTGATGATCGGTTTGCAGGAGGAAGTGTCGTCCATACAGCATTTTGTGGAAACGGGTGACAGCGAATATCAGGGCCAATGCTTCCTTCTCCACTTGTCCGTAGTTCATCTCTGCTGGGGTCAGTGAGCGCGAGGCGTGCGCAATTGCCTTCACTTCACCGGTCGGGAATCGATGCATGATGACAGCGCCAAGACCGTCCTTCGATGCATCTGCTGCAACAACGATTTCCTTTGACGGGTCGTAGTGTGTAAGCAGCAGGTCGGAAAGTAGAATGGCCTTGAGCTGCTCGAAAGACTTCTGGCAATCCTTGGTCCAGTTCCAGCGTGCATCTTTCTTGAGGAGGCTGTCCAGAGGAGCCCTGAGTTGCTTCATCTGCTTAACGAATCTACCATAGTAGTTGACAGCACCGAGGTAGGAACGGAGTTGCTGGACATCCTTCGGAGACTACATCTTGGAAATGGCTTCTGTTTTTGAAGGGTCAGGCCAAATACCGTCCTTATCCACGATGTGTCCGAGAAACTTGATCTGGGAGAGTGCGAAACGACATTTTTTGATGCGTAGGTGAAAGCCATACTCACGGATCTGCTCGAGAACAGCGTAGAGACTGCGATCGTGTTCCTGCTTGGTGCGACCAGCGATGAGGATGTCGTCCAAATATGGCTTGACTCCAGGGATGCCGGCCACCATGCTGTCGATGATGCGCTGGAAAGCGCCGGGTGCCGACTTGACTCCGGGGGGTAGTCGGTTATACTGGAACAGTCCACGATGCGTGTTGACCGTGAGTAGCTTTCGCGATTCCTCCTCGACCTCGACCTCGACCTGTAGGTAAGCGTCAGACAAATCGAGATGAGTGAAGTAACGTGCTCCAGCTAGTTCCGCAAAGAGGTCGTCAGGATGAGCCAGTGGATGATGGTCACATTCTAGCGCGTTGTTCAGCCCCGTCGAATAATCGCCACATACACGGACTGATACATTGTCCGACTTGCGTACGACGACTATTGGTGCTGCCCAGTCCGAGAATTGAACTGGAGAAATTATACCGTTTTGCTGGAGCCTCTCAAGTTCTGCGTCCACCTTGGCGAGTGCAGCGTACGCTACTGGTCGTTTCGGGTAATATGCAGGACGTGCGTCAGTCTTGAGGTACAACTTCACTTGCGCTTTTGTGCATCTACCCCACCGTGCTTCGAAAAACTTCCGGAAACTGTTGCTTGAGTTGATTGGTGTACGACGTTGACCAAGCTGCTTATCGGCACAGACCACAAATCGAACAGATCCATAGTCTCGATTCCTAGAACGTTGAGTTCAGCGCTGCTTGAGCTGAAAATGCGACCAGTCTTCGTAACATTCTTGATGGTGATCTCGGTCTGGAACTCAGCGAGAAGGTTGAGATTGCCACCAGAAGCTGTAACTGCAGATTCTTCCGTCGGTTGAGTGGGTGGCTGTCCGATGCTGATCCATGTTTCTTCTGAGATTATGGTAATGTCGGACGCCGAGTCGTGTTGAAGTTTGACTGCTACACCATTGAGCTCGACCGGGATGAACTTCCGCTTGCCTCCGATGTTGCGAACCGTGTAAATGCTTTTTGTCTTCACGTTCTCTTTGGATTTGGCCTGTTAGAACGGTTTCGACGGCGCATTCTTGTTGCTGTTGCAATAACCTTCCTTGTGTCCTTGTTGCTTGCATCTGGAACAGGTGTGCGAAGCGAACGGACACTCACGAACATAGTGCTGGTCACCACACTTCCAACATGGCGTTTTTCGGCACTTTTTGATTCTTTTTTGAGGCAGGATTATTCTGGTTGCGAGAAACAATGTTGACGTTGCGTGCTCCTTTGTTCTCCACCATCAATGTGTCCTGCTTGAGATTGGCCATGCGATGGCATTCTTCCGCGAGGTTCTCCAGGGTTATCTTGCTGGTGGCTTCTCCCAATTCGTTGACTGCGGTTTCGTCAGCTTCCAATTTCGAGATCAACCTAGCTCGTATGTCCGCATTCCGTGGCGATTGGAGTCCACAGACGAAACGGAGAGCTTTGAATTGGTCCGGTGTGAGCTTGGACAGCTGAAACGCTTCACAGTGTTTGTTCACCATGGCAGCATACGATGTGAAGTCATCCGCGTCACTTTTTGCATACTGGAGGCACTGGTAACGGGAATGAAAAACCGACTTCTGTCGACCGAACAGATTCTTCAGTTTCGTGACGGTTTCGTCCAGGGTGAAGTCCCGGGGATGCTTGGGTGTTGACGTACTTCTCGTGCAGAGGCGTGCTTAACTTACGAAGAAGCAATCTCACACGAGCGGCGTCATCCAGGGATTGGCCGTCCTTTGTAAAGACATCCTCGTACCTCGCATACCAGCCATCGAAGAAAACTCCTCCGTCCGGATTGTACTGGAAATCCTGGATCCCGCTTGCCAAGGACTCAATAATCTTCTCACTGCCAGCAGTCGGATTTCCCCGATTTTCCAGGTTTTCAATCTGCTGCTGCTGCCTCGTGATGAGATTCGTTAGCTGCAGGATGGCGTTCCGAAGATCCTCGTCAGACATTTTCTTGCTTCGAGGTTCGAGGTGCTTCCAAAATTTTCCTCGTCGCCAATTGTTATGTCCGTAACCAAGGCCAACAAGTAAAACAAGCTGTTGTTAAGAGCTACTATTTATTACGTCTATCTTGGTTGGTGGTCGGATAAAGGAAGAATCTGTAACTTATGACAGTCAGGCAAGGCCTACTACATCTAGGCCTACTACATGCATCTAGAACGCAAAGTTAAGAGCCGACAACACGCTCGCAAAATAAGCCTAAAAAGCTTAGAAGATAATTGGATCGCACCATAATAGGAACGTATAGTCATACATCTACCCTACAAAAAAATGTCTTATCGGTTACGATGTGTATTTCATATAAATGTTTCATATGGAGCTGTAGTATCATTATATCGTAATATAGGGTTATGCATACATTTTAACACTTTACATTACTATCCCCCTGTCTATCTCTAGATCGAGTAATATACGGAACCGCAGGGGGCAACCATGTCGGTAAAGGTGATATTCGAAATTGGCCACGAGGCATCGATCAAGGCACGTACCACTCCGGAAGGCTACACGCACGATTGGGAACTGTTTGTGAGAGGCAGCGATGGCGGTGATATTAGCCACTTTGTCGACAAGGTGGTTTTTACCCTGCACGAATCGTTTCCCAAGCCTAAGCGGGGTGAGTTTTGTGAGATTTTTCGTCTTTTAAAACGAATAGTATAAGGTAGTAGTAACGGTTTATTTTATATTCTTACGATTACAGTGTTGAAGGAGCCTCCGTACGTGGTGAAGGAGCAAGGATATGCCGGGTTTATTCTGCCAATTGATATCTACTTCAAAAACAAGGGCGATGAACCGAAGAAGAAGGCATTTTCCTACGATCTGGATTTGCAGTCGTTCAAGCTGCAGAGGGAAGAATACGTGATAGCCAATCCTTCCGATGATTTCAAGAGGAAACTGTTGAAAGGTGGTGGAGCGCTATTAAACAGTGGAATTTCCTCGTTGGCTACTTCAGTGGATTACAAAAGTGGTCGCAGCAGTGGAAGCGGTGAGAAAAGCAGCTCATCACAGGATAAAAAGTACAAGAAAAGCTCCGGAGATGATTCGAAAGTTCAGAGCGCATTTGCAAACTTGTTCGGGCCATCAATAACCAAGGGTAGTAGCAAGGTATCGCCTGATCCCGCCGCCAAGCAAAGCTCATCGTCGTCCAGCAAAACATCGCCCAATGTTGGGGGCAGTGTTAGCAGCAGCAGTAGTAAAAATCAACAGGTGAGCTCGAAAGGTGATCGCTCCAGTACAAGTTCTTCGAAAGACAAGGACAAGAGCGACAAAGACAAGTCGTCAAAACACAAACATTCGAGCCCTAACAAAGAGAAAGAATCTAAAAAATCGTCATCCAGTGAAGATAAGCATAGCAAGGAAAAGAAAGACAAAAGCCATTCCAAAGAACGGGACAAAGCTAAAGAGAAAAGTTCTAGTTCGTCGTCTTCCTTTTCGAAGAGACCACTAAGCCCAAAACGGAACAGCTCTGGGACGATTTCCGGTTCAACGTTGACTGCCGGTTCGACATCGACGGCAAAAAGGCATCCATCACCTTCTGTACCACCGCCAGTAGTGGTACCACCAAGCGTCAGTTCCAAGCCGGAGGAAAAACCCGCAAGTAAACATAGTGGTGAAAAAGAAAAGAAAAAGGAAAAGAAAGACAAGAAAAACTACGACAAAGATAAAGAGCGTAGTGAGAAAAAGGATCGTGAGCAAAAGAAAGACAAAGATCAAGAGAAAAGTAGCAGCTCTACTTCCGATAAACCAAAATCGGATATCATAAAACCGAGCAAACTGGATACTGTTAAGCTCGACCAGAAACTGTACTCGAAGGAGAAGAAAATCTCGGAAGAGCCGCCTAAATCAGCCCACATAGAAGTTCCCCAGTTGCAGCAAACCGCAGTACCCACTCCAGTGCAGGAACCTCTCAAGCGGGTTGAGAAGCCGGATGCTAAAGAAAAGGACAAGGAAGAACGAAAGCACAAACACAAGAAGAAAGATAAATCCAAAGATAAGGAGAAAGAACGGTCTTCCAGTAGCAAGGATAAGAAGGAAAAGAAGGACAAAGAAAAGTCCTCCAACAGTAAGCCAAGCTTCCCAACTCCTCCAGTTAGGGAACCGGAAGTGCTGTCTCCTATAAAACCGGCAAAATTGTCGGATCCTACGAAATCTCTTCAACCCGAAAGAGAAGCGCAAGCGGCACCACCACCACCTCCTCCTCCTCCGCCGCCTCCTAAGACTAATCCGCTAAGTTCAATGGTAGAAGAACTTAGTGGTGACAATAGTAGCGACTCCGAAGCGGACAGTCCTCCATCAATAATCCAAGACAAAGATTCGGAAAATTCAAACAGCAGTATAGCAGACTTACTAACAGCAAGACCTCCATCGGCTGCGTCCTCCAGTACTTCATCCAGTATTACGAAACAACCGGAACCAAGGCACGTTCCCGAACCTCCTCCACCGGTCGTAGAACCGCCGAAGCCGGAGAAGACTCACCATAAGAACAAAAAGGAAAAGCTGAAAAATGCCTCATCCGACGGCAAAGAGGAAGGTAAGAAGCGAAAACGGAAAAACAAGGATGCCGAGGGCGAAAAGGAAAAAGAAAAAAAATCCTCAACACCCACCATTCCTGCAATCCGAAGGAGTCCGTCACCTCCAACGCCCCCACCAACCCTGATGGAGCCACCAGTAAAGATCCCCAAACGAGATGACACCTACAACAAGCGTGAGGAGTCACCAGCATCGAACAACAACAACCACTCGAAAATGCTTCCCCCAGAGGACGTCGGCACAACCTCATCCTACTACAATAACAACAATGCTTCCGTTGTTCCGATGGTAACGCCGGCGCAGCTCCTGCCACCGACATCGTCCCAGCCGAACAACAACAACAGTTCCAGTGCGACTACGATGACAAATCTGTCCGGCGATTACATGTCGGAGCTAAAGGATCTGCAGCACAAAATTATGACCCTGCAGGACAACAACGAACTGCAGCGGGTCGTCGAGATGATAGCAGCCACCGGATGCTATGAAATTACTAGCGCAACATTTGACTTCGATCTGTGCGCTCTGGACCGGCACACGGTCCAACGGTTGCAAGACTTCTTCGCCACGTCCTGTTCGTCTTGACAGTAAGTTGTTTCCTTCCCCGTCTACAAAATTTGCAAAATCCCGAATTTTAATCCCGGATTTATTTTACTATTTAAAAAAACAGAACACTCAACCGAAGATTTCCTTCGTTTTATCCTATTTGTATAAGTTATTGTGCTTTAAATTATAGTTTTATTTATTTCCGTATATTTTTTTTCGGATTTGTTAAAAGTTTTTACGACAAAGACTTTTCTCCCCGGCGTATTCGTGTTTTAACCGAAAAAAAAAATGGGAAAGAGTCAAAATCTGTACTCATTGTAGAAATTTGGTAGATTGCACACTTGAAAGCATTATAGAAATTGTACAAAATAAAAACTGAAGATTTAGGAAAAGCGTCTCGTACACTTTCCACAAGGCTGGTGTTTGTGTTTGCGTGTCAGTCAGTTATACAGCCCCGGCTGCCAGTCGTCGTCGGGAGGAACTTTTGTAGATATACCATCATTAAACAACCTCCCGCCACCCATCATAAGGTAGCAGTGGGCTTACAATACGTTTATTGCAGACGTGGACAGTGGATTGAGTGGCAAACAGATGACAAATGAAAATCAACAGGACACAGGTGGCATTATTAGGTGATAAGTAATCGTAAACGCTCTGTCTAAATCATTGCACACGAAATCGTAAAAAAAAACTAGATACTCGACGTTTAATTCCAACATGGTTTGAGTATGGGTCAAACGGTGGTAGCAATGTGTGGTTGAATTGTTAGAATATTCGCGCTTAATGGTCGGTCCTTTCCTTTAGATAGGAAAAGTAAGCAAAGGTGAAGATGGCCTAACGATAGCCTTTCACTAAGGTTGTGAACCATTTGCCGAGTTAAGGCTCTGAACCATTTGGTGGATTATTTTAACTTTTGGTTAAAATTTTACAGATGGAAAGTTATCGATTAACCCTGCTATCCGAGCGTGGTTACTTCTGACAGACAAGAAGTTAAATTTTGACAACTGTGGCTCGAAAACCGATCGATCAACAGCACGGGGATTTTCGAACATAGAAAATAACTTTCGAAATGTCACTTTTAACCACGAGTTAAATTTAACTCGGCAAATGGTTCACAGCCTAAATTTAACTCGTGGTTAAAAGTGACATTTCGAAAGTTATTTCTTATGTTCGAAAATCCCTGTGCTGTCGATCACCCGGTTTTCGAGCAGAACTCAGCCACGGTTGTCAACATTTAGCTTCTTGTCTGTCAGAAATAAACAACGCTCGGATAGCAGGGTTAATCGATAATTTTCCATCTGTCAAATTTGAACCAAAAGTTAAAATAATCCACCAAATGGTTCAGAGCCTAAGTGGGCCCAACGAGCGAAAGTTCACTGTACTAGCGCAGTGTTGAACAGGAGACAGGAAAGACCATCACCTTGTGGAAGATCCGATATTTACACAGAGCACTGCATCGTAGCCCTTCACCACAGACAAACAGACGTAACTCTTCATATGGCCATGAAAAACCCTTTTTGAGAAAAGGGGGAATACTATTTAAGGAGATTCCTTGAAGAACCCAAAAATTACCGTCATTATGGATGATATGCCCTATCACTTCAAGTTTTCTAAGAGCACATGTCTCTTTTTTCCCCTTGATTTGTTTTCCGAACTGAGTACCAATGCTACCGACGCCAGGGAGGTATAGCTCCCGGTGTGGGAGCCGGTGTGGCTTTACTTTCCTTCCAAAGGAATGTGTGATCAGAGATGTTATGCCTAAGAAAATTCCGAGTGAGATGCAGTAATGCTTACCACTACACCACCGGTGCCGCTGTAGCACACATGTTGGTAACTGTTGCGACATCGCTCATGAAATTGGAACTTCCTGTTTGCTTGCGCTGATGCAAACGTGGAGTTCTAGTTACATTGTTTTAAGTTAAAAGTTTGTGTTTGTTTTGATTCGTCTTATAAATTTGACAGAATTTAAGGGGCGGTTCGTGGATTTTCCTATGTATCGAGGAGTGCTTCAATTAGCTTGAGACCGAGGTCTGGTACTTTTTTTCCCTTGATTTGTTTTTCGTCGATCTTGTTTTCCGTACTGAGTTCCTATGCTACGGACGCCAGGAAGGCAGCTCCCACACCTGGATCCTACCTATCGACCCATTAACTCGTAGACCGGAGACCAACGGGTTTTCTTCCCAAATCCCGACGGTGCCGACTGGGATTGACTCCAGGCCCTTTGGAGTAAGGTCTGGTACTTCCTGAGCCAAAAGATTGAGCATGTTTCCGCGTTGGGACCCCGTTGTCTTAATGTTAGTCTATGGTAACAGTGTGCAAGCGTTTTTGTAGCGAATGGTTCAACGGGTTCAACATGCCGACGCAACGGTTATGAGTGGCGCTGATTACCTGACGCTCAAATCTGCCAGAAGTGGACGGGTCTGTTATTTGCGCTTGCCTTCAAGTTTAATTTGGTTTCGTGGCCCACACTTGTGAAAGGATATACAGGTTAGACTTGATTATTAAAATGTCTATGGAAGACTTAAGAAGCAAACTAGAATTCAAGACCAACAATTGAAATGGCCTTAACTCCATTTTGTAAACAAACCTTGTAAGGCCATTTTCTCGCGAACCAATGGCCGTATTAGATGCTAGGTGAACTTTTTTTTTTCATCGAACTGTATGTTGAAATTAGCTGGAATAATGTCTATACATGGCCGTGGGGAAACAACGAGAATATCGACGAAGAGAATATGTCAATGATACATAAGACCATTGTTCGGCTTCACCATTGTTCATCGTTTATTGGCCCATATCATACATATCATACCTGACTGGGAAAGGACGTGTCCAGGCAATTAGCTGTCCACTCATTAAATGGTGGTCAGCTTGCATGATACGAACAGTAAACAGGGGTACCACAAAAGTTCAAATAATGGACGCAGTGGTACAACCTCTATGGTACAACTCCCGCAAAAAAATTGTTCGGCTTGATATGTACATGAGCAAATCGAACATTATGGCCCCGATTACGAGTGTCACTTCACGGTGAAACCGAAGTGAAGTGACCAGTTGTCACTCACGGCGAAGTGATTGCCGTGTAAATCAAATGGGAATCACTTCACCGTGAGTGACAAGTTGTCACTTCACCGTGAAGTGACATCGGTAATAAGGGCCTATGTATTTCTTTTGTCAGTCCCTGTGATAGAGTCACCACACTAGACTGGGCCTACTTCAAGATCGTATGATCAAACGGTAGTTTGGCATAAGAAATGCTGTTCGAATAGTATCGTCTTCGAACTGTCGTTGTTCATTTAGAACTTCTATACTGCCGCTATTGGCACTGATATTCGAATATCGGCAGTATACCGATGATTCCCAATCCATCGCTCCTAACACAGGGAACAAATTCTGTTTGAGCCGCTCTTAATCTTGCGAATGGACGAATCGACTCGAGAAAGCATTTCACCCCTTTAGCGTGCTGTTTGATTCGTGGGGTAGCTTGTGAGCTCTTGTGAGTACTGGCCCCAACGCTTGTATGAAAAAGTTGTTTCGTCTTGATTACATAACGTGACCCCTTCACTCGTCATTTGTAAATGTATTGCCACACATTGCTTCCCAATTGACCGATACTTGCAATCTTGTAATAAAGGAGCTAAGCGAGACTTGAAATTATTTTAGCTTTCGTTTCGTTTTGGTTCCACTGGAATCGCTACAGTTTCCTTAACTACACACACACACACACTCACACTAACTCAACCAACTTTCGTATGCAATCATACCCAAAGTAACGTAACTGTTGTAATTCTCAAAGCATTCAACATCACAACAAAAACAGGCATAACAGTATGTAAATATAAGTCATTAGTATAGTGAAAGACGACAAGCCAACCCTGTTCGGTATAATATTAATCCCAAAATTATGTTATAAATGGTCCCCTGGATCATATACGTACCAGCCGAAAATCGGGATAAGCATAATAGACACTGCAGCAACACTTGTTTCAGTCAAAAGGACCCTCTCAAATCAACACTTATTTTCAAACACTATTATGCAAGCACCCGAGTCAGCGCGCCATGCAATATTTGTATATTTGTTGGTTACTATATTATATATGGTATATTTATATTTAATTCCAAAGTAACGCTAAAGCATATTGTTACAAACACGCATTGAACAACAACTCTCATGATGACAGGAAAACGAGAAGAAGTGTTTGTGTATTTTGAATGGTGTGTAAGTGTAGAACAACAGCTATACAAGAAGTTAGGCAGGTAAGAAGACGTATTAGAGGAAAGGATCGGCTAAAGTATTTACAAAACAATAGAGCAGGAAACGGAGGCATATAAGAGATTGGTTTGTCGCATTATTTTTCACACCACACACTCGTAAGTCGCATCCAGTAATAATAATTGTTAAGGGAAGTCCTATAAGTACCTTACACGTATATTAGGTTTGTCGTCCGTTTTCGTGATGGAATGCGCCCATACGCACTAGCTAAGTTCAGTCAGACTTTCGTTCTTAGGCATCTAGGGATGATTTCTCCTAGCAAAAGTGAGAAAAAGCAAAACTAATAAAATTTAAGCAAATAATGAATGCAACCCTTTTTTCGTGGCAGTTTTTCTTTCTACTAAAGCATACCGAAATTGTCATCCAGAATGAATAGATCTGTCCAATCAATATCTAATAATTTATTCGGCGTGCTAAATATTTAATATGTTATTAAAAACCCTCAATGCTTGTGCAATGCAACAAACTTAAATCACTTCCTTCATCTGATATTTGGCCCAGTCGGCGGTCGGATTTGCGGGCGGCAGAACCCACCCCAGAGGGATAGCACTGGCTTCGTCGTCATCTACTTCGACTAAGCACGCATCCCAGGCCTGACGTGTTTCAATCAGTACCCCTCGGCTCCGATCTGCCCCAAGTAACGGGTGTTCGAATTTCTTCGGAATAGTATCCCCAAACAGTGCTTTGGTCCATTCATTCTCCACACGTCGTTGGTAGTTGGCCGCAGACCGACGGGCCAATACATCCTTCAATCGTATCTCCTCTTTGACACACTCGGATAACCGTGCAGTCCAGCTTCGAGTCAGTTCACTGAACTCGGCCGAAGGTTCTCTATCCTTCATCTTCTCAAACTTGGCCAGATATCTTTTGCATGCCGCCTTCCGTCGGTGCACATCCGCCAGAAAGTGACTGGTAAAGTCCAGCTCATGCTGAGCTTGCTTCTCCTTTTCCACCAGCTTCCACTGCTCTCGCTGCCATTGATCTATCTGTTCGTGAAGCTTGGTACGATTCTGCATTGCTTCTGCCTTTTCCTGCTTCAACCGAGAACTCCATCGCTTCTGCCATTCCCGTTTCTTTCGACGTGCATGAAGTTTTTTTGCCAGTTGACTACGCAGTTCGGAATCATTCAACCGCGTCAATTTGCTCGCTATACTTTGCTGAGTCTGCTCCAGTTGTGCGAAACTGGCTTGCCACTGCGAATCCGGTTGCGATTCGATTTCCTTTTCAAGTGTTTCCTTTTGCGTCTTCAGGCGTTCAACTTCTTTCATCAGATCAACCAACTCGGATCTCAGTTTACTAATTGATGCCGCTGAAGGTTGTTGTTTTGCTTTAGCGGTGCTACTTGTCGACCTGCGTTTGGTGCTGAGAAATTCTTGTACTATGTCCTGATCACAAAATGGATCGATTATGCGAACAGTAGGAGGGGGAAATGCTGGGGGAGGTCTGGTAGGATCGAAAAATGGTAAACTTGACATGTTTACCGCATTAGTATTAGCTTAAACTAAGGAACTCAGTGAAATTGTAGTTAACGGTTATAAAATGATAAATTGTTAGCAGCTAATGATGATCAGTGGTTGGAAAATACACTAATGAGGCAGATTCACTTTAGCGTCCTCAAGAATGGCCACCGCAGCAGTGTACTGACTGCTCTCCTTCAGCTCTTCTTCGTTTTTGATCATTTCACTCAACTCTTCAAACGCCTTTGCTAATCTAAAAAAAGAAAACAAAATTTAATGTATCTCAACAAATTTGATCAAATTGAACCCGCAATGCTCCCATTGTGCAGCTTGTAAACAACCCGCAAGAAAGCAAGGTTATGCGTGCATCCGAAGCAGCGGCATAAACCTCCACCCACACACGCATCAGTCACCGCGCCGCCATATGGTCATGGAAAGCCAACCTACCTTCGCTGACAGTCCGGAACCATCATCATCGATTCTTGCAGCACTTCCTCCTGCTTGCGAAGAACGTGATCGTCAGCCCCTTCCGTCTTCAGTCTGTCGATACGGTTCCGCTGGGTGACGACCTCCTTCTCATACACGGTCTTTTCCTTGGACAAGCGCTTCACTACACCTGTTTTGATCGTAAGCTGGCGCAACCTTGGGTCGGACATTGCAACGTTAATTTTATGTGTTTGGTGACTAGGGCAAATTTACTGGTTACTACAAGGGAAGAGCAGGTTTTACTTTTCTGAACGGATTCAACGCATGCGGAAAAAAATGACTCACCAAGATCTGAAAACTAAACTGGAACCTGTAAACTGGAGATGCTTCTTTGTCACTGATGCGACTTTCGGATTTACAACCAGCCCAAACGACCAAAGAGTGCTGATGTTCTGACAGATGTAGTACTAGAATGATGTGTGCGGGGAAAAAAAAAACGGGGAGCAAAACAGTGTTTCTTTTTCGCTGCAGTTTCTCTGCAATCAAAATCTTTTGTTCTTTGTTGACATCGCAGGTGTGATTGCACAAAAGCAAAGAATCATATTTTTTACAGTTAGGTTGTTATTCCCGCGATATAGAAAAAAATCCCAATATTTTTTTTCCCGTTCTCCCTAATTAGATTAACTTTCCATATGAGCTTTCTCAATGTCTGTGCTGGTTTCGTTGTGTCTGCTGAAGATTGAGATTGTCGACGACGAAAACAACATGAGCGCTGCCTCAGGTGAAGAAAATGGTAAGTGTCATGATTGCCCTTCCGATCTGTAGCCGATCGTAAGAGTAAGAAAAATTCTTCTCCTTTCTCTCACCCACAACCATTTCGTCATTGCATATATTTTCGTTGCATCGGTGTAACGCGCAATTAATCAGCTGCTGGTGGTGCCGTCTCGAACGAACATCCTACGAATCCTCGCCTGCAGCGGGATATGAGGGGTCAGCGGAAACCGAAGAAGATTTCCATCGAAAGCTACCGGAACCGGTTGGATTCGGCTGAAGGCGGCAGCGATGAGTCCCGGGGAGTCCTGCCCAAAAGTTCCCGAGAGCAAACGCCGATGGACGAGGTTCCCCCGGCACCGGGGCAGGAATTTCCCGGGGAGATCAACTTTTTCTCCGGCAATCCGTTCGTCGAGGTGACCAAGGGCATCCTGCATCTGTTCAAGCGGAAGTAAGTAAACCTAGTTTTATCGGTGGAATTTCAATGCTCTGTAGATGTGGACGGTCGTTTAGTCGTGGTTACGTAAATGAAGATTCCTTTCTAGTTGCGTACAGATGTTGTTTGTTTTCGGTGCAAGTAGTGAAATCGCAACTGGTCGAACCTGAATGCTATGAAAGTAAACATTCTCTACGTCTGATTGGTGCATGTCTAGTCAAACAAACAGATATAGATTAATTCAACCACTTAATTACTTAATGAGTGACATAGCCAAGATGTACCTAAATATATTTTAATCGATCGTTCCAAGCGATCGAATACTGATGTTGCAGGGAAGTTCTTCTGTTTCTTCCTGGGAGGCGATATATCATGCTGTTGGTAACACTTTTCTCCGTACCCGCAATTGACCGGTGCTGAAATGTGTTGATATTGACGCGATGTTGACCAAATTATTTTTGACATGATCACTGAAAGAATTGATTCTCAAAAAAACTTTCGTCAAAATCTCATCCATTTTTTCGGTAATGTTTTTTTTAACTCTTTATTTGCGAGATTTTTAGCCGTAGGCTAGTTCATCTCATTTTCGGTAATGACAAAGATTCAACTGATAACAAAAAGTGCAATTTTGTTGTATTCTGCGTCAGCTTATTGTTATCTAGGCAGTAAAGGACGTAGATGCTTGTTCACTCTAACGGCTTAACTACTTCGGCTTAAATGCTGAATTCATTTAATTTCGTTACAAATTTAGCTAATTAAACAAACTGCTCATGACAATTGGGTTTTTTATGGGCATTGAGGTAAATACATATTTGTTATCTATATTAAAAATGGAACCGAAATCCAAAATTTCATCAATTTTGGTGTACTGGAACTTTTTTAAATAACTACGATTACATTACCAAAAATCACCATCTTAGCGCACCTTGGTGGGACTTTGTATAGGAGCGAGCTGTTAACGAATAGATTTAGTGTCAACGATCAAAAATTTAAATCTTGATTTAAATATCGGAATGAATGTCTACGGAATCAGCAGCGTACAGGTGATTGGTGAGGTGATCTCCAGGTGGCTTTGTGGTTATCCTTGCGAGGGGAAAAAGGTACTTCGACCATACCCCGAGAGGCTGCAAAGTTCACGCATCGTTGGCCGTTGTCGTTCGGGCTGTTTGGCCCGATTTTGGTATATACATGTCGCCGATGACGATTTTGACGTCCCGTTACAAACAGCCGTCGTACACCTGGTCCAAATGCGCATAGAACGCTTCTTTCTCGTCGTCGGGTCTCCCTTCGTGTGGGCAGTGCACGTTGATGATACTGTAGTTGAAGAAACGACCCTTAATCCTCAACTTGCACATCCTTGCGTTGATCGGCAGCCAACCAATCACGCGTTGGCGCATCTTACCCAGCACTACAAAGCCGGTTCCCAGCTCATTGGTGGTGCCACAGCTCTGGTAAAAAGTAGCCGCTCGATGCCCGCTTCTCCATACCTTTTGCTACGACTTAAGTGCTACGACTTCGAAGTTGCGTGATTGAAGTTCGTCATAGATTAACCAGCCCGGGAATCCAAGCGATTTGCAGTTCCATGTTCCGAGTTTCCAATCGTAGTCCCCCGGAAAAAACTAACCATACAATTACCATAAAATAAAATACAGTTACAACGATATCTATTGTCAACAAACTCTTTTTTTTTACGTATATTTACAAGAAATTTTAACATATTGTTATTACAATAGATGTACAATACGTCCCATATTGGAAGGATTTTCAACAATAGAACAACATTACAATGAACGGTAAATGGCTCAAGTTTGTTCGGGAAAAAGTGATTTTTCGTATGGTTAAGATACATAACAACCCCCTTGTCGGATGGTCAATCGTAGACTCGTGCTCTACTTGGAGAGTAACGGCTACATTGACCATCGCCGCACTGGGACCTATTTCGCCACACTTAATCAGGTACTTCGGGACGCGAGGGATGCCGACCAGCACGTGGAGCTAGCAACTTTAGACATCGCCAAGGCATACAATCGGACATGGACGCCTGACATCCTTGTCCAACTTGCGGAATGGGGTCTGTCATTAGGGTCACATCAGGTCTCCTCCCATCCACCCCCAGGTTGGCAGCCTGCGTGGAGAGTGGAAGGCTGTCTTTTGAAAAGTACATTGTCGCATCTGTTTGCAAGAAAGTGATTGGCTTTGCAGAAAATACTACAGGGACAAGTGACGGAGTGTCCCTCCTCATGGAGGCGAACGATCTCCTGAATAATACCGCTAACCTGGAGCTCCCCCTGTAGCCAGGGTCCACTGGTGTGGAGCCAGAGGTTGGAACTCACCCATCGATCCGGCGATAAAGAACTGTTTCCGGGCGGGAACCAACTCCCCTGCGCTAGTGAGAACAGTAGCCGAATTACATCGAACCAAATACAACAATCATCAAGTACGATACACCGACGGATCCCGAAGTGGCGGTAGAGTTGGTATTGGAATTTCCGATCCGGAGCTGTGCACCTTTTACCGACTACCAGACCCATGCAGCGTTTTCACTACTGAAGCAGCCGCCATTCTCGTAGCTGTCACCCTACCCTCGAACGTTATGGAATTCTTACGTTCTTTTGCCTAGGTGTATGATAGTACCATAGAGGTAACTCTAAGACTAGAAGGTCCCGAAGAAACGAGCTCAACTTTTTGGTTCAGCTCTGGTACCAACAATCAATACGAAACTAACGATTTTAAATTGGCTCACCACTTTAGTAGCCTATTGGTCCCAAGCAAACGATTAACGTACCCTATTCTAGTTGAAATTCTATTACTACACTATGTTTGTTTTGATTCGCTATGAAAGTTTGACAGATAACATCAGGGGTGTGTGGATTCATGCAGAACATGCAGGGGTGAGTGAAATAGCTTGGGACTGCTTGGGACCGTTGTTCTGGTACTGAGTGAGCCAAAAATAATAATGATTTTCTTCGGGACCCAGTGGTCTTAGAGTTACCTCTATGCTGGTACTATCTTCGGTCCAAGCTAATCGATTTACCTCTCGAAACATAGGAAAATCCACTAACCCCTCATTTTATCTGTCAAACTTACATAGCAAATCAAAACAAACATCGTGTAGTACTAGAATTTCGACTAGAATGGGATACGTTAATCGTTTGCTTGGGACCAATAGGCTAGTCAAACAGTGAGACATTTTAAAATCGTTAGTTTCGAATTGATTGTTGCTATAACATTTGCCCGAATTTCACTAGCCCGAAAATAATAATTTTAGGGGATTTTCCTCAGATTTTTCCGTCTTAGAAATATCAGTGCTAACATTTGAAAACGGCACAAAAGCCATTTGTAAACAAATGGTTTGTGGGCCCTTTACTCACTACTTGAAGTACATCCACGCGACACAACAGCAACATCGGGTAGGGGAAATTTTCCCCTTCCTGACGATGCTGTTGGTTTCCCGCATAAACGCGAACCATATCTTGACCTTACCGAAAATGGTTAAAAATTGTTTATAATCCTTCCTAAACTTTAACTTAAATGGTTATGGAACTTTACATGAACGTTTGTGTGATAAAGTTTTAACCTTATGTATTATGGTTTTTTGGAAGTGAACCTTACAAATAATGGGTTGTTAAGAACCATTACCATTCAAAATTCTTGTTTTCTCCATACATTTTCGGAAAGAAAACTATATTAGAACCTTTTTACTTATGGTTTGAGAATTTTAATGGTAATGGTTATGGTAGTCAGTAAGGTCCATGGATGGTTTTGTATTGTCGGTCAACTTTACGTGGAATATATCACGAATTGGTAATCATTAATTTACAGGCAACCTATTCGCGATATATTCCACATAAAGTTGATCGATGTTACAAAACCATCCATGGACCTTACTGAATACCATAACCATTACCATTAAAGTTCTCAAATCATAATTAAAAAGGTTCTAATATAGTTCTCTTTCCGAAAATGTATGGAGAAAACTAAAATTTTAAATGGTAATGGTTCTTAACAACCCATTGTTTGTAAGGTTCACTTCCAAAAAACCATAATACATAAGGTTAAAACTTTATCACACAAACGTTCATGTAAAGTTCCATAACCATTTCAGTTAAAGTTTAGCAAGGATTATAAACAATTTTTAACCATTTTCGGTAAGGTCAAGATATGGTTCGCGTTTATGCGGGTTGCGTGGGCGTTCTTCGGGTAGCGAGTAAAGGGCCCACAAACCATTTGTTTACAAATGGCTTTTGCGCCGTTTTCAAATGTTAGCACTGATATGAGCAGTTTTGAAGTTTTACGTCTGTTTAGAACTCACCAATTTTCCTTGAGCCCATTCTTAAACCTCAAATTAAAACTTTTTTCGCAGTACAGTACAATCTTTCGGGTTGTACTGTACTGCGAAAAAAGTTTTAATTTTACGTTTAAGAATGGGCTTAAGGAAAATTGGTGAGTTCTAAACAGACGTAAAACTTCATTCAACGTTCACGCATTTAACTAATGATTTGGATATTATTATTTTCGCGAGCTACTCACCGCAGCTCTGGCATCGGATCACTTTGACTTTAACGCCAAGATGTCTCTAACGGGCCGCAAAGGTTGTTTTCTTCGGGCCCTGAGGGATCTAGCAACACAATGTAGGGTGCATGACCAAAGCACGTGATCGATCTCATGACAACCACTACCACAAGCGCACAAATTGCTGCCTGCAAGACCGATTCGAAAGAAATGCGAGTCTACCGAGCAGTGATTGGACATGAGCCTCGACATGACACGTATAAAGTCACGGCTCATGTCCAATCCTTTGAACCACGGCTTGTTCGACACCTGAGGGAGAATAGAATGTAACCAGATCACTCTCATTCCATTTTTGTTGCCAGTTGGTGAGGACTTGCTGACGGGTAATTGAGAAAAATTCCGCAAAGGTGATTTGTCGATCGAAAATCAAGACCAACAATTGAAATGGCCTTAACTCCATTTTGTAAACAAACCTTGTAAGGCCATTTTCTCGCGAACTTTTGAAATATCGCCTTCCATAGCGCCCACTTTAGCCAACGAGTCCGCGTTCTCGTTACCCGGAATAGAGCAATGAGATGGGACCCAGACTAAAGTGATGGTATAGGAGCAGTTAGATAAAGTACTCAATTTACATCGTATTTCGGTCAGGAAATACGAGGAGTGCTTTATCGGCCTCATTGATCGAATAGCCTCTAACGAGCAAATGCTATCAGTAAAAATAAAATAGTGATCAGATGGTAGTGAGGCAATTTGCTCTACTGCGTAGAATATGGCTGCTAGTTCCGCAACGTATATGGAACAGGGTTTTCGCAGTTGATATGAGGCGCTATGAAATTCGTTGAATACTCCAAATCCAGTGGAAGCGTTTATAGTTGACCCATCTGTGAAAAAAACTCTTATTGTTACTGACATGATGGTACTTGTTTGCAAAAATTAAGGGAACAACCATCGACCGATGGTGATCCGGTATTCCACGGATTTCTTGCAACATGGTCAGATCAAAATTTACAGAGGAACTATAAAAGTCCTGGAGGCAAACACGAGAGGAATTGAATGAAGAAGGGCCAATCTCCAGCGTCATGTACTTGTAATAGAGACTCATGAATCTTGTTTGAGGATTTCTGTCGAGCAGCTTCTCAAAGTTTTCTATTACCAATGGGTTCATTACTTCACAACGGATAAGAAACCGGAAGGACAGTTCTGCGAAACGATCTGTCAGTGGGAGAACACCCGCGGCCGAGAGTACTTCGAGGCTCATCGTATGCGTCGAGTGCATACAGCCAAGCGCGATTCGGAGGCAACGGTATTGAACCCGTTGCAGCTTCAGGATGTGTGTTTTTGCCACGGATTGAAAACAGAATTCCAAAATCACTAAGGTTTTGGATTTCTCACTTGTAAATAATTAGAGCAACTGGATTTAATTATAACAAATACACTTTAGATTGAAACTGCTAGGATATTACAAGAATATCAGACATTTCTAAAATTTTGTGAGTTTTCTACAATGTGACAAGTACTGGGCTCAAAATCAGACTATTTTCAAACGATTCGAGTTACTGTCATTCGGGCTATTATTATCTAAACCACAGATGCACAGACAGTTATTATTATCTAAACAACAGATGCTTCCATAATACGCATTCAACATAAATCTGGATATTTTTGATTAATCGCAATAATCGTCCCTAATTGTTCGATGCGTAATTTTTTTTTGATTTTGCGTTATTCGATTATAATTTTTAATATTGAATTATTTCAACTAACCACGCAATACCAAGAGGTGTCTTCTAGTAAGCCCATCTTCGTCGAGAGCGTTATCGCCGGAATGATCCTTATCCGCAGCACCTTGGCGGACGACAGCGACTGCTACAAGCGGAAGAAAACCAGAGGAATACGAAATGTTGATGATCAGATGGTAGCAGGAATGGGACGAGGTAGATAACGGAAGATGAACTCATAGCCTAATATCGAATCTCTCGGTCTGCGCGAACATACAGTATAACTCAATTTCTTTTTGGTCACGGTGGCCAACACCATCATTAGATCGCGGTTGGAAACCTCTGGATGTAAATCGAACACTAGAACGTATTGAACGTTGACCCCGCAGGCGACATGCGTACCTCCAATGTCGTCCCATTGGCTAATAATGGAAAATTATGTAGATGTTTTGTTTTTTTTTTTATGAATGCGTCTTTCATGTCTTGTTCCGACTTGAACTTAGTGTAAACTGCTTACTACTGTCCACATCTGTAAATAGATTTCGTCTCAAGAACATTTGCATCCACTGGCTCGCAGTCTCATTGGTAAAATGGGAGCAAAGTGTACTCTTTATTTCAACACAAGGGTTTTCCATTCGTCGGCTGATTAATTTTTCTGTGCTTATTTTTTTTTTTCAGCGAACGCGCCGACATCACCGACGGACCGTCCACGACGCTCTGCCTAATCGCGGTTCCATCTTCGTTGAATTGCCATGACATCCTGAACTTCATTGCCCCGTGCCATTCGGTGATACAGCATGTAAGAATTCTTCGCGACGGTGCACCCAACCAATTTATGGTACTGCTGGAGTTCCGCTGTGTTGAGGCGGCTGTTGAGTTCTATCAGACCTTCAACGGTGTGGCGTACAATAGCTTGGAACCGGACTCGCTATGCCATGCCGTTTGGGTGTCCGCCGTGGAATGGGGTGACGATGGTATCGCTCCCCAGGGCCACACCGAGCTGCCGATGTGTCCCGTCTGTTTGGAACGAATGGACGAAAGTGTTGATGGTGTACTGACGATCCTGTGCAATCATGCTTTCCATGCTGGTTGTCTTATCAAGTGGGGCGATTCCACTTGTCCGGTCTGTCGGTGTATTCAGACCCCAGAGCTGTCCGAGACTTCAAACTGTATGGAATGTGAAGGAACGGAAGCACTTTGGATTTGTTTGATCTGCGGACACATCGGATGCGGTCGGTATCAGGGTGGACACGCTGCATCTCACTACCGATCAACAAACCATACGTACGCCCTGCAGTTGGGAACCAATCGAGTTTGGGACTATGCCGGGGATAACTTTGTACATCGGCTGTTGCAAAGCAAATCCGATGGAAAGTTGGTGGCCACTCAGTCGCCGGGTAGCGATGGAGATGAGAAAATCGATTCGATGCAACTAGAATTTACATATCTACTGACATCACAGCTGCATGCTCAGCGGGAGTACTACGAGGAAAAGATGATGCGATTGGAGGGCAGTACTGCGGGTGATAAGCAGAAGCTGCTACAGGAAGCCGAGCAGATACGGAAGAAGAACGTTTCACTGGAAGGGAAAATTCAGGCTCTTAACAAGGAGAAGACCAATCTGGAGAAGAAGGTCAATCAACTGTCCGCCAAGTAAGTGTGTTGTATGCTTAAATGCTAATTGATGATGGCCTACACTAACTTCTTTTTGTTTTTAGAATGACAACGGTTCTTAAGGAGCTCTCGGAAGAAAAGCAATTCGGGCAAACGCTACACGAGAACCAATCTTCGTGGCAGACTAAATTTACGGCGCTGGAGAAGAAATGTTCGGAAAAGGAAGTGGAAGTGACCGAACTCAAGGAGCAGGTTCGCGATCTGATGTTCTACCTGGAAGCGCAAAACAAAATTGCAAACTCCGAGCTTAAAGACGAACTGGCCGGTGCGTCGTTGGAGGTCCCCAAGGCCACCAAACGTCGCACCAAAAAGAAGTGAATTCGCTCTCAAATTTCTCTCCTAGAATAGGTACCTATATCAATGTTAGCAAACTAAATTAATAAATTGTAACTAGTTGGGACTCGTTCAAAGACGCTTTTGCGAACGTGAAGCAAATTTTAAGGCAACTGTAACTGTAAAATGCGAACGGCTAACGTCTAACTTATTTCAAGTTGTAATTGTGATATTTCCTATCGATATTGAATAAACCTTGTGCTTGAAGTTAAATCCACACATTTTTACGCGCTTTATCACAATCAGTGGGTCACTTTTCCCAACGTGTCGGCATATTGAAATTCCGGGCTGTTTTCATACTCACACATATCCAGCGCAACCTCGCAGCTTTCCTTCACGACCCGTTTTTCGTCCTTCAGATATGCGTTCAGGATTTTGGTACATTCCTCGGTGGCAATCGCGCCCAATGCTTCGGCACATTCGTGTCGTACCATCTCGTTCTCGGTGCCATCCCTAAGATTCTCCGCCAGGAATGGAATGCTGCACGGCTCCTGCAGTTGGCCCAGAACGAAAGCAACCTCATGCCTGAAGAGGGCACTCTTTCCCTTCAATCCGGTAGAAAGGGCCAAAACAGACTCTTCGGTACGCAAATTTCTTAAACTGAACATGGCACGGTACCGGTTGAATAGGGTCTCGTTTTCGTCCATAAGAATTTTCTGCAATTCGGCAATGTTTGTCGTTTCAGCAGGAGGTGTTGGATCGACCGACGCGTAGGGATTATTATCCATCAAATTCTTCTCCTTGTTCTGAAGCCACCGAACGCGAGCAAGCGCTATTTCACAAGTTTCTGCAACCTCGACGACAGGATCCTTCGAATACTTGACCAGAATGTTTTCTACTTCGGATGCTCCGATGGCTCCCAGGGCTTCCGCTGCAATGAAAAACCAAACATCAACGTCACCCAAATTCAAAGTCCTCACCATCACCTCCTCACAAACCTGCTTCATGTCGCACCATCGGTTCCTGCTTGGTGTCCTCCAGTACCTTCGCTAGTATGGGAATGGCCGCCCGGTCCTGCATCTGGCCGAGACAGTATGCCAGTTCGTGTTTGAGCAGCGCCGATTCATCGTCAAAGCAGGACTCGATGGATTCCAGTGCCTTGGGACCGCCGATGTTTTTCAGTGAGAACAACGCCCGGAAACGTTCCTTCAGCGGTCGATTTTTGTCGTTCAGCACTCGACCGATGTCGCTAATTTTCGATCCTTCAATCTGTACCATGTTGCGCTGCAGAAAATGTGCAAAATTACAAATAATCGAAAATGCTGCCGGGACGGATGAATCACGAGCACAATCGGAATGTTCCGGCGTGTTGAATCGTTGAATGTTGACAACCAACTCTGTCAAAATAAAGCCTCATCGGCAAAGTACGACATTCTAGTACTTCGTTTGCAGCGACTCCATGCAGTTTCATCATAGGCCATTTTAAAAACTATACCAATTCTAAAATTTGTTTATCGTTTCTATAGCATGACGAGGTAGAAGGGTAGAAGTTTCGCAAAATAATTTTAATAAACCTACAGGTTTTTAGAAAAGCACACCACTTTGAACAAAACTAATATCCATTTGGTGAAGCATGCAATTTGGTACAAAAGTTGCAAGATGCCTGCATCTAGTAATTCTTGCCTCGTTTATAACCGGAACCGTCTGTGCCGAATCATCATCAGCAGTTGATCAGGGGTCCACGGATGGAAAGCCTTCGCTACAGATGACCGAAAAAATATGTAAGCTTACTACAACATTTTGACTTTTAAATCCAATTTGACCGAATTCGGAATCCTCCAGATTCTAACATTTTTGTACGAAAACGAGAACAACACAAGCTAGTAGTGCAGCGCTTGATGTCAACGAAGGACTATTCGAAGATATATGACCTACTCCAGCTGGCTTTGAAGGAGATTTTAAAGGTAACTTTATTTGACTTGTGCCCGATTCCGAATGTTCAAAGTATAATGCTTAACAAATTTCAGATTCTGCAAGAAGATGGAGCCAAATTGCTCCAAAATGGCATTACAGCCGAGACTGGTTTCCCTAAGGAAACCGAATCTGTTGAGACCCTCGGTCGATACCTAGAAAATACCTGCTTCTTTGGAGAATTGATTCTCCATCTGCCAGATATATCGAACAGAATTCTCAAAAAATATGAATGGCAAACTCTTCTCATCCAAGCACTGTCCTATACCCGAGGCTTCGTCAACATTTTAGACCAGAAGTCGTTGGAACTACTGGGACTGCTGGAACAGGAAATCGATGAGAGCAAACGAACTGATAGTTACGTCAACCCATACCGGAAGAAGTCAAGCGAAAAAAAACCGTCCAAACAGGAAACCAAACCGACCAAGAAGAAAAAGACCAGCTTGAAGAGAGGTCCTCAACTGTCCGGCGCACCCAAGACTGAACTATGATATCAATTAGGTGAGCCCTTTATTCATTTCGAAAGTTTAATCTATATGTATATATACTTAATAATCTTAAAACCTTACACAATCCACGTCAATCCGAATGCCCTTGGTCGCTTGTCTAGCTTTCCCGTATGTTTGCTCCCAGTTGGCCCATCTGTACCATCTTTCCGTAGCCTCCGCGACCGAGATCGTGATCCTGTCGATACTCATCACGTACTTGTCCGCCAGTTTTGCCTCGACCATACTGTCGCCCTTCGACGAACCCGGCATCCCAGTCGACGCGCACGATTCGATCATCTAATCTGGTACCGTTAATGTATCTCATCGCACTTTCCGCATCGCAGCGAGCGTAGTACTCCACAAAACAGAAACCGCACGGTGTCTTTTTGAACTTGTCCAATCCCATTACAATGCGCCGGATGTCCCCACATCGCGAGAACAGCTCGTGAATTTGTTCCTCCGTCGTATAGAAGCTTAGATTTCCAATGTACAAAGTGCATGTCAATTTCAGCAGCCGTTCCTGTTCATGACGGGATCCCTAAAAAACGGAATTTCCAGTTAGACCCTTTGCGGACAGTGGCCGTCCTAACCTCTCTCTCCCCGTTCGGAAAGGACGGCGAAAGCCAAAAACTGGAAAGCTCACCTTAAAATGCTGGTCCCGATATTTACTGAGCGCAACCGATGGTGTGTGAACGGAAGTCATCGTTAGCTACCTTTTGCGATAGAATGCTTTCCGAAATTCGGTATTTATCACCGCAAAATTGCAACAATTTGCTGGACGAAATTTTGTTTGCCTGATGCGTACAGGATTGTTGTTTTCTGTGCACTGTCACTTTTTTATGCGATGTCAATGTCAAATTTTCTCTCTCGACAGGCAGCGCCACCCGGCGAGTGGTTTTAAGCTCAGAACTAAAAATACACTGTATACACGCTAACTTTAAAGTACCCATTAATATGTAAAAAAAATACCCATTTGAAGAAAAGTACACTCTTAACTACGATTACCTAAAATTATCGGTAAAAAGTTATCGGTATTTTTACCGATAAAAATCTTTATTTTTTACTTTAAATAGGCTATTTTTTACTATAAATTAGATAATATTAAACGTTAATTATTGGTAATCCATGATTACCGATAATTTAGGTATGTGCACTTTCTTCGATTATCGGTAATTTCTACCGATATTTAGGTATTCTTTACCGACTTTAAGGTATGTGCATCCCGAAGAAACGTCCTCAAATTTTTGGCTCAGCTCTGGTACTCTCTTCGGTCCCAAGCTAATCGATTCACCCCTCGAAACATAGGAAAATCCACTAACCCCTCATTTTATCTGCCAAACTTTCATGCCGAATCAAAACAAACATAGTGCAGTACTAGAATTTATACAAGAATGGGATACGTTATACCAACAATCAATACGAAACTAACGATTTTAAATTGGCTCACCACTTTAGTAGCCTATTGGTCCCAAGCAAACGATTAACGTACCCTATTCTAGTTGAAATTCTATTACTACACTATGTTTGTTTTGATTCGCTATGAAAGTTTGACAGATAACATCAGGGGTGTGTGGATTCATGCAGAACATGCAGGGGTGAGTGAAATAGCTTGGGACTGCTTGGGACCGAGGGGGGCGACACATCTAAATCTCAAGTTTAGATGGCCAATAAATCTCACACTAGCGAATCAATCTTCGAACAATCTTCCCTAATAAACAAATACCATAAACGAACTGTATCCCGGATGGGTAAACTATCCCACAAATGGTTTGGATGATACCCGAACACGTCGTTAAGCTCTCTTTTATGGTTATTTTTATTAGGGTTCTTTCATTTGTCGCATCTACTTGCATCGCTCATCAATTTTTTGCAGGAAATCTTCAGAATCGTCATCAATCTTCTTTCTATCTACTCAGCGTGCGCGCAGCTAGCCACAGCAAAACACAATCTTTTTTGCATCGTAGATAGAGTCGTCCCCCTCGCTTGGGACCGTTGTTCTGGTACTGTGTGAGCCAAAAATAAAAATGATTTTCTTCGGGACCCAGTGGTCTTAGAGTTACCTCTATGGTTATACCATAGAGGTAACTCTAAGACCACTGGGTCCCGAAGAAAATCATTATTATTTTTGGCTCACTCAGTACCAGAACAACGGTCCCAAGCAGTCCCAAGCTATTTCACTCACCCCTGCATGTTCTGCATGAATCCACACACCCCTGATGTTATCTGTCAAACTTTCATAGCGAATCAAAACAAACATAGTGTAGTAATAGAATTTCAACTAGAATAGGGTACGTTAATCGTTTGCTTGGGACCAATAGGCTACTAAAGTGGTGAGCCAATTTAAAATCGTTAGTTTCGTATTGATTGTTGGTTATACCCCGTTCACATTACAGAGTACATCAAGAGCCACATGCGAAAAGGACATACAAGCTTTTTGTAAACAAACCTTCTATTGCCCTTTTTCCCATATGTCACCCACGCAAACCAACAACATCATCGGGAAGAAGAAAGCTTCCCCTTAGTGAACGTCAAAAAGAGTGTTGTGAGCATAAATTTTTGCCTTGAGACATAGGAAGCGGAACACTTTTTTACTTTTCCTGATCAATTGATTCATCTGAGATGCTGCAAAACTTAATCTACAGTTGAAAAATTTAATTATGTAACGTTTTTGAAAAGATCCTGCTGGTGTTCAGGAATATTTTTGTTGAGAAAAATGGATAGTTAAAAAAGTGCCTTAGTGGTTATGATCTTCCGCATTTCTTGTGTGTGAATAGTTAAGGTGCAAATCATGTCAGATTTGTGGAAAATCGTACAATAAGACAATTACCGATGGAAATTGGCAAGATTTTGAATGAAAAATGCTGTTATTTGCGTTGGGGAAAATACTTATTCTGATGTAAACAAACGGTTTGGTTGACGTTTCTTCTCGAACTCGCGTGGCGCACTCTACGTTGGTGGTGCATTAAAAAGGCGTATTATATTCAACCACAAAATCAGCTGTCAAAGTGTTCGACTTGACAGCGGTTTGTTTTTTTATATTCAACTGCTCAATCAATACGAAACCACCGACAAACTGACATGACACTTTATTCTAACTTATGCTCGAAAATCGTAAACGGCCGATTTAAATGTGCAGTGATCTGAACTGTCAAAATCGTAGGATTTTTTTTATCTAGATAAAAAATAATTGGTCCAGAATAGATCAGACACGAAACACGAACTTTTGCATAGCTTAGCTTAATATTTCCCGCGAACACGGAGCCAGATGTCAGTAGTGTGCTTTGGTCAGAAATTTTATTGTTTTTGCTATGGTCATTTATGTCGATTTGTCGGTGACGAAACTATTGGCGTTGACGACGACTCTGTAGCTCTTTACTCCTATGAGAAAATCCATAAGCAAACGTCAGACTGTGCGTGAAACATGGCGGACTTTGTACTATCCTTTCACTCCACCGAAAATTCCTATAAGAAACTGTCTATATTTTCAGAAAGAGCAAATTTTTCGACGGTGCCGTCAACGCCAATCGATTTTAAATTGTTTTCTTTGTACACGCTTAAAACAGTATACCCAATTATAAGTAATGGTTTAATTTCGAACAAACCCAGAATATGGTTAAACTGCACGTACCTAAAGCTGGATGAATCGGTGAACAGGAAGATGTATATTTTCATAAAGGTTATTTACATAAAGTTCAGTTAAAGCCATTGGCGAAATAGTGACCAGGTGGAATGTGTGACAAGATGGGATTAACTAGGGGATTGATTGAGCCTTAAAAAACTTAAGGAACTAAATTGAAAATAATGAGTGTAATATTGTATCCACTTTGTCAAGTTGTTGCAGATGTTGATCACCACCATGAATCAAATACATCTTACATTTGATTGTCTGTGGGTGAAGGTTACAAAAACGTGTTCCTTACCTCGTCTTTCCGTGAAGCCATTCTTCTCAAGTTACTCACTAGTTAATGGAATTAATTTAATTACAGCCGTTGCCTGCGTTGGAGTTAAAGCAGACCTCTTTCACTCTTTGGAATTTATAGAGACAGATAACAGCGCCAAACGGTTTGTGACGAGACAACGTTGAACTGCAGCGTTGGAAGAAAACACGCACACCAACATCACGAACATGTACGAACCCACACAACTGAGCGGACGGTACAGCGCAAATCAAAACACGAAGCGGTATCATCACTCATCGTCATCATTCAGCTTCGGCTACTTCCGTTTGCGTTTGCTTTCACCGGCGTTGACAAATACTTCCTACGTTTTAAAATAGGAAAGTAATGATTATTCCAACGTTATGTTTAAATAGAATGCGTGCTGCGTTGGTCAAAGAAGACGGCATATTTTATTACGTTTAGCAATGATTTCGATACGTTTCATTTCCAGTGGCTGGGGTTTTGGAATAATTCTTGAGAGAGAGTGAATGTTTTTCCCATGTTTACTTCTATGCCTATTACGATTATTTTGGCACCAGCTCCGTATATCATCAATTACTATTAAAGATTTGCATCTTACTGATACCGGTGGTATATTGGAAACTCTTTCGCTCGAAAGCATAACATATTACAAGCACATCATTATGCGCGCTTGGATGTGTGATTGTTTTCTCAGTGTTTCTGTTGCGTATTGATTGAAAATCGGAGCAATCACAAACAAGTAAGAATCTTGCTATCGCAATATAATGATATAATGATGATGACTTCGAGGATGATATCGTCTTTCCTCTGCTGATCATCAACGTCCGCGTTGACATCTGTCATGCCTTGTCAGTTGTTGAGCTCTCGTGGTGAAGTTGGCGGGGAACTCCCAACAGTTGCAATGTGCACTCAACAGATGGCACTGCACTCACATAAGGGTGGCCATTATATGACTTGTATGAGGAATTGATTAGTGGGATATCTTGTTAATAAGATATCTTTGGTTAAAGGTTATTGCGTGCCCCTAGGGTCTACTACCATACTACTGGCACTAATATTTCGGTGGCCTTCTAGACACATCCATCTTTAAATCAAACTGCACAGACTGCTCATGCTTCAGTGTGTTGACGTCATCATAACTTCACCTTGCTAATCATTTACCTTTGTTCCATCCCTTTGCTATGACTATGGCTGCCCTGATGTCAGTCTCAAAACATGAGAAAAGAGAACCACAACCTGTAAAACTTGAGTCTAATAAAACCAAACGGGTCCTTATTTTAGGAAGTTAATTTGACTGTTTTAAGTAGAAATTCCCCGAAATTTCCCCACCAATCTTACGTTAGCTAATAGGTTATGGGCCCAGTCACGGCTGGTGGTGGAAATTAGTGCGGTTCGCGAGTAAATCGGAACGTTTTCGTCGAAAGTTTGCCGGCGCTGAAAATCGGTCGGAAGTTCGCGTGTGTCGTCGCGAAAACAAATTGGCGGAGAAGGTTGCGATCGAGAAGCTGGAGGATCATAACTGGCCCCTGTGGAAATTCAAGATCAACCTGATTCTCGGCGAAAAGAGCCTGTCCGATATTGTGAAAGGCGAGAAACCGGCCGAACCGACGAATGATTGGATTTCCAAAGACGGAGTTGCGCAGTCCGTCATCGGACTAGCTTTGGAAGATACGCAACTATGCCACGTCATGGGGAAAGCCACCGCGAAAGAGATGTGGGATGCCCTACAAGCACACCACGAAAGGAAGTCTATGTGTGGAAAAGTTTTCTTGATGCGGAAGTTGATTTCGCTTCGGATGCCGGAGCGGGGCAGTATGACCGACCATCTTTCGGAGATAACCCTACTTCACAATCGTCTCGCTGGGATAGGAGAAACGATGACAGACCACTGGCTGGTGTCGA